TGGCTCTGAGATCTTGGATACACGGTCCTCTCTTTCTATCTTATGGAAAAGGTAGGAAAAGTGGGGGTAACTAGCAGTCCAGAGGTATATAGTCAAAGTGTGAGACGGTCAAGAGAGAGATATATGGTACGTTTCCACTGAGCGCGTCACGCGTCGCGTCGACCATCGCGTCACGACGCGATGCGAAAGAGAGAAAGAGTGAAGTTTATATATGTATATACACAACCCCTCTCTTTCTCTCTTTCGCGTCACGTTGTGATGCGATGGACGCGTGACGCGCTCAGTGGAAAGGTACCAATAAGAGTGGAGAATATATATTTACTGTATATATACATATACATATAAATTTTTTTAAAAAACAGCATGACAATTATTTTCAATGTCATAAAATGTCTCAAGACAAGATAGGTAGAGTTTCACAAGCAAACTTATTTTTATACCATGTAACTTATCTACAGTAGTTAATATGTGCAGTTTCATGGAAATAAATAAAATTTACTTGCAGTTGGCGTTGACATTCTCTTGGAATTTTTGGAAGTAGCGTTTAATCACATATTATTTTTCCGCAAAATCTATCCCAAGGAAATTTTTGTTAAGAAAAAGATATACGGAATTACGATATATGTATCAGAACATCCAGAATTGAATGAATATTTATCAAATGTTTTGAATGCAATCAGAGAATTGATAAAGGAAGATGAAAACAGTATTAAAGCCATCAATCTTACCTTCTACAACAAGAACAAGTCACCAATAGAAAAATTTGTCTTTGATATGGTTAAACTACGGGCAGAGTTTATAGAGTATGTAGAACAACAACTAATATATTATCTAATTTTTATATATTACTAATTAATTATTAATTATTCTTTTCTATTTTAAGGAGAGATCCATATTATTTAAAAACAGAAGAAGCACTAAAAACAGTTTGCTTAAAATTATCAATGTGTGATACATACTTAAGAGCTATTCCAGACAATTCAACTTTTTCTATTGAAATTCAAACATATGAAACTGCACATATTACTCTGAGCGAAAATCCAAAATGTGAAGATTTTCCATGGATTATTAAAGATGATGCAGTAGAAATGATCAATAAAAATCTATTGCCATTAAAGGACATCAAAACAGATTGTTTAAACTTGCAACTCTATGTGATTGAGGATACAACAAACAAAATGTAAGATTTAAATAAATTTGTACGATTGATAAAATTAATTCATGATATTATCGTAATAGTTTAATTGCGTTTATAAGTCCGATAAACTAATTCAGCAAGCAGTTTAAATTACAACATATTTGGTATATAAATTCATACAGAAATGATTTAAGCATCTAAGATCTAGCTTTGTTTAGGCTTTAAACTCTTACTTATCGTGTATTCACATATATAGTCTTAATAAATCGTTTATCATTGTTTACATGATTGATTTATATCCTTTTTTTGTACTTTTATTTTATACAAATTATAGAAAAAATACATCTGATCGTACTTATTAAACTTGTCCCATTAGTTTAGATATAAATTCTTTATCTCTATTCCACAAGATGTTACAAATGGCATTCAATTGATACGAGCAATCAAATATTTCAGATCTTACTGACAATTTGCTGGCATCAATCTTGATCACTTTAACTTTCCACTTGTCCTCGAATTCTTTAATTTGTGTTTCATCTATCATAGAGCTTGACCAAGGTTTGAACCTGTAAAAAGTCAGATCAGGATTATCTGAATCCTTTCCATTTTGTAATACGATTATCAAATAATAGTACTACTTTGTGCCAATGACTACGTTTGCTGGTTTTCCTTTTATATTGATCATTGTATTCATCAAGTATGGAATGTCATTGAAGCTTGCTGCATCGTCAAAGGAAAACACAGAACATATCGCATCAACTTTATCTTTGCATACCTGCAAGTGAAAAAAGATATATATGTATTGTCTAATTAATATCTGTTTAATTAATTGAACATAATTATCAAAGAATTTATACACATACTGGCAAAATGTGATTGTACTTTTTTATACTATTTTCCGAGGTATCCCAAAATTGCAGTTTAAACAGAACGACTTTATCCCAAATTTTTACAGGCCAGTAAATATTTGTTTTCCTTATTCCATTGGTTTCGGTATAACTGTTAGAGTCGAGGATACCTGCGAGTCTTGCTATTACTGAAGTCTTTCCAACGCCAGACCTACCTATCATAAAGATCTTGTAAGTGACTTCCTCGATGGAAGAAGGCAACGATGGCTTCTCCAGAATACCTGTAAAATGTATGAAAATAGTAAAATGGGAAGAAAATTAATATCTGTGTACATATATTATATAATAGATTACACAAACAGACAGAGCACCATAAAATCTCCTTTTTTTAGAAGAATTTACGTAGAAATGATGGATTAAAGATTCTCCTTCTGCTGAAGTTAACCAGTTCATATTAATCGCATTCATGCTTCTTTGGTTTCACTACGGAATAAAATGCGATAAAGTATATTTAAATGCATTATAACAGAATGCAAAATTCCATACAACTTTGTATAGAACATAATTACTTTGCATTGCGGGAGTTTAAAAATTTAATCACTCAATCGATGATATGATAAATATCCGTATGCATTATCGATCACGTACACCAGCGTCGAGTACCGATCTTTCATGAAAACGGCACTAAATACAACAGCCAATTAGAACTATACGTTGAGCGTCGCGCATAAAAAAAAGTGTTTCTCATTGGCTGAAAGTATGTAATTTAAATTTTTTAGTCGTGACATTATTAAGCTACCGTTATTGCAATTATTACAATAAACGTCATATTAAGTAACGCGTCATAATAACGCGAATCTTCTTTATGTGGTGATTTAATCATTTTCTAAAATTTCCATTAAAAATAGCGGTTAGTAATAAGGCATGTATACATATGTGTGTATCAAAGGCATAGAGAATGTACTGCGTGATCCGTACTTAAGTAATGTATCAAATGTGGTCGACGCAATGAGAGGGAGGTCCATGGGAGACGGCCAATCCCCCTCTCATTCTTTCTCCCATTATACCATTGAATGGAAAGAGATAGAAATGCCCGTCTGCCACGGTCCCTCTCTCTCTCTCTCTCTCTCATCCCTATCGACCATTTTGACACACGGATCGCGCAGTCCATTCTCTATGGCTTTGGTGTGTATGTATGTATGTACATGTAGGCATTGGTAGATATGCCTTTAATAACTGACAGAGAAGAAGCGATGTGTGTATGCATGGATGTACCAGGCGAATGGTCGCGCGTCCCGCCTTGGAGTGAACCAATCGCCGGACACGCCGCAGTTTATCGCGGTTGAAACAGCGTGCGCGATTGGCCGTGTAGCCGGCGTCGGTTCGGACACGGCCGTGCGGCCAGCCAATAATTAGAGCGCGCGCTACGTAACCAACTGTTTGTGACTGTTCCGCCATATTGTGTATCCAGCGCGGGTCAGTGGCGCGTGTATATGGGTCTTTCGTGAATATTTTCTCCAATTTTCTCCTACGCGTCAGACGTAAGGTGTGCATGAATTTACTTGTCTGATTAACGGGGCCTATCGCGTGTGCATGATGGATCCGTCGAAATTGAAAGTGGTGGAGTTGCGAGCCGCACTGAGCGAGCGCGGCCTCGACACCAAGGGCAACAAGCCAGTGCTCGTCGAGCGGCTACGCAAGGCTTTGGAGGAAGAAGCACAGGAGTGTAAGTTGTACTTGGTGTGCATCATCAAGTACTTCCCTTGTACTTGCTCTTATTTCAATTACTCTACTAATTTCTCATGCTATACTATTATCATGTATTACAATGGGATCCTGATAATCATCATCACCATCGTGACTACTATACACCATGTAACGTTATAAGATGTAGCTGATTATGAAATTGACTAATGTGCTCCAATTATGTTCCCTTATTTACACGTTACATTGAGATGTCATGTGATATGGTGTCGTATCTTTTGTTTGTTTATTGTGTTAATGTTTAAAATTTAATTTTTTAGCTTTAGGTTTATTTTTGTCAAATATCCTATCTAACAAGGTGGTACAAAAAATTATAAAATATATTTTAATTTATTTTGTAGGTGGTTCAGATTTGCAAACAGAGAATATTGACGATACTGCTTTGAAAGAGACACAAGAGAGAGTCGTAGAAGCTACTCGATCGTCGCAATCACCACGGACGCCTAATAGAGCATCTAGGAGCTCCTCAGTGACAACTCCAACAAAAATTTCCACGAGAAACGCATCGAGAGCATCTACCACTTCAAATTCTTCAAAACAATCTACTCCGAACAAATCTCAGTATGGTGAGAAAGCATACGAGGCACCAACAATGAATGAAGAAGCCATAACCCAACAACAGGAAATGTCAAAATTGTCTCCTGAAAAGTATAGAGAAGAGCAAGAAGATGATGTGTCAAATATCCTTCAGAACAAAATTCATTCATCTGATAAATATGAGGAGGAAGAGGCAAAACATGTTAATATTTTAGAAGGTAATCGAGCAAATATTTTTCAAGTACCTGTGACAGAACCGTCTGACAAACCTAGTACAATTGCCTGTGTAGATCAATTTTCTATAACTCAAGAAGCTCATGAAGCAAAGGGATCTAGTATAGATGAAGTTGGTAAAGTTCAACAGCTAGCTGAAGAAACAAAGGATATTATAAAACTGGAAGAAAAGACAGAGATTAAAGATGAAGATAAAATTTCAATTGAGAAAGAACATGTTGAACGTAAAGAAGATAGATCTAACATTAAGGATAATATAGACATTCCGGAAGTTGAACAGCCAACACATGTGATACCTGATCAGGCAGATAAAACATGTGAAATAAAGCATGAAGAAAAGACTATTCATGACGATTATACAGTGCAAGATAAAAAAATGGACATTTCAGCTAATGTAAAAATTTTAGATGAAAAAATTGATACTATTAACATCTCACAAGATAAACAGGTATATAATCTATATGCTTCTGTACTCTATATGTTTCGTTATAAATAGCACAAGTAATTTGCAACAATATGTAAGAATTGCCTCTGTAAAATTTAATATTATTTTTAATCATACATTTTTATTTTTATTTGTGTGAAAGAACTATATAAAAATAGCTGAAAACTATTTTTTTTACAGCAAAAAGCAACATTAGATGCAGGAGAATCAAATCAAATGGAATGCAATGACAGGAAAAGAAAAAGATCCCCTAGCCCAGCAGAAGTCCGTCAACTATCTCCTGTGCCACAGAAATCAGAGGATGAACCAGATCTTGACGAGTCAACTGTAATTTTATCATGGTGTAAGTTTTTTAATTAAATCTTGTGTATTTTTTGAGATTAGTAATTCTTTTTTAATATATATATATATATATATATATATATGTGATATTGTAAATACTTTTTTATTCTTAGACGATTCAGATTTGAATTTAGTTATTAATAAAGATGGATTTCTCTCTGGTACACCTATGCATGATGGTGATCTCTGTGATATGTGGGCTGGTGCAAGAGCGTCTCATGGTGTTTCAAATGGAAAAGTCTATTATGAAGCCAGAATTGTACAACACTATCCTACTATCACAAAAGACAAGAAACAATCGCATATGCTTAGAATTGGTTGGTCAGTACCCTCTACATCCATGCAGCTTGGCGAGGAAAAATTAAGTTATGCGTATACAAGTGCTGGAAAACAGGGTACTGACAAGAAGTTCACAGATTACGGTTCTCCATTCGGCAAAGACGACGTTGTCGGATGTTATCTTGATATGACACCTGAGAGCACTATAGAATTGTTTTACACGGTAAATGGTAAAAATGTTGGATCTGCATTTAGTATCTGCAAAGAGGAACTTGGTGATAGACCATTGTTTCCACACATTCTGAGTAAAAACTGTACGTTTGTCTGCAATTTTGGCCAAGAGGAGGCCTGGTGCGAACAAATCCCAGGCTATATTTTAGTGGGTAATATCGAATCCAAGGACAGAATTGTGGGTCCACGTAGGCCAAATGGAAAGGCAGATTGCGAGGTGATAATGATGTGCGGTTTACCCGCGGCGGGAAAAACTACCTGGGCAAGAAAGCACGCGGCCGACCATCCAGATAAACTATACAATATTTTAGCAGTCCATAAATTGGTTGAGAAAACTGGGGTATGTATCCATAAAATTATAAAAAATTATCAAGTTTGATTGTGTTTGTTCTGAATGCAATGTTTCCCTTCTATTCAGGACGTTGCTCTGTCAGATAAAGAGCAAAACATCTGTCAGCGAGAAATTATTATCGACAGATGCAATCGCGCACTCGATCAACTGATCAATGTAGCAAATGGTAGAAGACGTAACTATATATTAGACCAGGTATGTGTGTGAAAGAACATAAGTATTTAAATAATTAAACTCGCACGGTATGCAAGAAATTCGGGTTCGACTCCCGGCCGAGGTAATATTTTTCGCAATAAGAATTAATTATTTACAGATTTTAATATGTTATTCATCATTATTAAGATCATTCCGAAGATGCGAATAAGCATCAAAAATTTGTTCTACATACGTAGTATATAAATTCACATAAGAATCATACAAGCATTAAGATCCAGCTAGACCGTTTAAGGCTTTGATTTCTATAGTTTAGGTTATCACATACACGGTCCTATAATATATTATATTAAATAATTAAATTGTGAAATATAAACATTGTTTTTGAAACAATCTTGTAATGTATATGCAGAAGAGCAACATATATTCCTCTGTACAAAGGCGTAAAATGCGAAATTTTTGTGGCTATCAACGGAAAGCGATCGTTGTTATACCAACAGATGAAGAGTACAATCAACGTTTGTTAATGCACAATACAATCGAGGGAAATTCTTTAGTGTCCAATCTTACGGAAATGAAAGGTATTCATTGTCGCTATACTTGTAATACGTATGATTGTAATTAAGAATAAATTATTCAAGTAATGATATGTGTAATTCGCGAATGTACATATAGCAAATTTCACTGCACCTTCGGTGGGAGAATTTTTCGATGCAGTGGAGTGGGCCGGTCTTGGTGAGAAAGAAGCTAAGAAACTCGTTGAGAAATATAACAAGGAAGGCAAAGACGCTGGATTCAGTCAACAACCACCGACAAAACAACCGCGTCTTGACAAGACTGAGAGTATCAAAGAAACGCGTGATTCTCGAAACAGCCGAGATTCTCGAGATCGAAGAAATAATTGTGAGTATTTTATTATTATTATTATTATTCATTATACGTTGCATAATACTATATTGCATGCTTATGGATAAGATCAAGATAGAGGTCGCAATCCTTCCTGGCGTGGCTCCAATATGGGAGGTTGGAGAGGAGAGAGACCGCAAAGAGGTGGTTATATGAGACACACTGGTGGTTACGGACCTCCTGTTCCATGGAGACTACGAGGACGAGGCGGACCTGCAATGGCAC